TGTGTGTTTAACTCTGGAGTGGTTTCCCACACCCAAACTTTCCACCTCCCTTCTTGGGCCTAAAAGGAATCCAGGCTCTAGCTTGAGAGTCACCGGGCATATTCTGAGCCCTGTGCTTAAGTCCCTAAACTGGAGAGGCACTGGAGGCACATGGCTGGAGCCAGAAATGCGAGGTGCTCAGCCACCCCAAAGAGACTTAGGTCCCCAAGGTCAGCCTACCACATGCTCAAGGAGGTCCCAGTTCGCTGTCTCCATCGCTCCCATGCCTGGGAAGAGTTAATCAAGGTGGTTGTCTACACACACACACACACACACACACACACACACACACACACACACACACGCCCTCCCCGGATTCCAGGCCTGGCTTTTGCCCTTTCCCTTTCGGCTGCCCTGAACAAAGGCCCTTTCACACCCGTGTCCCGCTGTCCCAGGCTTTCTCTGAGTCAGAAGCTAGTGGAGATCTTCTGTCATCTTCCCACCCCAGCTACTTAGACCCAGGAAACCCGCGCGTGGCTAGCGTGGGGGAGCCGGGGGCGAGGTCGGGGACCCGGAGGAAGGGCCTGTGATCCTGAGCAGCGCTAGGATATGCCAGGCCTTGGGGGCCAGAGCTGAGTAGTCGGGGCGGAGCTGCAGGGCCAGGCCTGCCGCCGCCGGGTTGAGTGTGACTCCATAGGCCCGGGGGTGGGGGGGTCGGGGGGGGGACAGCCCTGCAGCTGGCTGGGACCCGGGTTGGTTTCCTGTCTGGAAGGGAAGGGGCCCGCAGAGGGGAGCAGGGCCAGCAGCCATCAGGCACACCCCTGCCTTTCTCCCTCTCTCTCCTCCCTTCTGCTGGAAAAGCGAGGTAATTTGTGAGCCCAGGGTGGGGCGTGCTGGATGGGGGCCGGCGCTGGAAGGGGTGACCCTGGGTCTGGGCCGCATTACAGACTCACCCCTTTGTCCCATTCCCTGGGCTCAAGTCTCCTCAAGTCCTCCCTTCTGTCGCTAACTTTCTCAAACTAAGGCAGCAAATCCCTCGGTGGGTTCCGATCTCCGGACCAGCCCCAGGATTCCGCAGAATCAGCGGGAGGCGTCCGTTCCCTGCCCCCTTCCAGCTGTGCTTGCCCCTCACTGCCCTCCCGGCAGGCGGGCACATTCTCAGTCCGCGGGGCCAGGGATGTGGGCGGGGGCGGGGGAGGGGCCAAAATGGGAATGAAAGGGCCTTTTTCTTCCACAACTGGGAGAACAGCTGCCACCAAAGCCAGGCTGGACACTCTGTGCCCAGGGCCCCCTCTGCAGCTGGCCTCCCCTCCCAGGATCCCCTGCTCACTCTCACCCCACTTTTCTTCCTCCTCTGCCTGGCTCCCTCCTACCAAGGCCTTGGGACAGCACTAGCAGAGGAACTTTTTGTCACAGAAGCCAGAGGGGTCGAACAGGACTGCAGAGGGACAGGGACAGCCTCTTCATTCTGTCCTAGAGCTGGCCACCTCTCTCAAGCCCAGGGAGCAGTGGGAGGAGGAGCTTTGGGACAGCGTGCTGACTACCTGGCGTCTCTCTGGGCAGCACGGGAAGGGGCTCTAGGGGACACAGAGATGCAGGACAGATTGCACATCCTGGAGGACCTCAATATGCTCTACATTCGGCAGATGGCACTCAGCCTGGAGGTAATGCCCTGACCCCTGGACCATACATTTCTTCCTTTGCTGTCTCAGTCTTAATGGGGCCCGATGTGTTTGGGGGGGCGGGGGCGGGGACGGGGGCGGGCACGGTGTACACGCCCATAGGAGGGCGGCAGGTGGTTCTGTATGCTCTGTGTTGAGTGCCGTTCGTGGACCCAGGCCCATTTCTGCTGCTGACCAGGACGAACGTTATGTTAAAGGGCTAGGGATGTGGCTCCCGTTGGTAGAGTTTGTTGTTTGGAATGGACAAAGTCCTGGGTTTGATTACCAGCACCCCAGCGCGGCACACACTGGGTCCCGCGGTGCAGCGGCACATACCTGTAATCCTAGCACTTGGGAAGTAGGAGCCAGAGTGAGTTCCAGGCCAGCCTGGGCTAAGCAACAACACTAACCTCAAAACCACATGTTGACAGCAGGGTCCTTGCACCTATTTCTGGAAGCTGTGTGAGTAGGTGTGAATGTTTGTTCTGGGGACAGCAGTTCCTTTTAGAGAGGGAATGAAGAGACTTCAATATGAAAGAGGTTTGTAGAAAGACGTAGCCTGAAGAGAAGTGAAAGGAGATGGTGGGTCAAGAGGAAAGGTGCGTGCGTCTGTGCGTCTGTGCGTCTGTGTGTCTGTGTAGAGCAGAGGACAGAGGACCATTTTGGGGATTTGGTTTTTCCTTCCACCATGTGGACTCTGGGGACTGAACCCAGGTCCTTGGGATGGATGGCAATCACCTTTGATCCATTTCGCTGTCCTGCTGTTTTTTCATTTTTTCTTAAGACAGGCTCCCTGAATTTACTATGTAGTTGAGGATGACCTTGACCTCCCTACCGCCACCTCCCAAGTGCTGGAATTGCAGGCATGTGTTTAAGAATCAATAAGCAAGCCACCATACCTGTCCCATGCATTCTTAAACACACAAATTGAACTTGTTCTATGTGCCAAGTTCCTTTCGAGGCCATGGAAATATCTCTGGAGAAGACAGGCAGGGTCCTCTCCTGTGAGGGAACAGATAATAACTATGTATAAGTGATGTCACATAGTGAAAGTATTATAAAAGTAGGATGCAATGCCAGTCAGGCAGATGGCAGCAGTAGATAATCTGGAAGGACCTGATGATCTGAGGTTGGCAGGAAGGCTTTCCAGAAAGATGGCATAGCCAGGGTGAAGAGCCGTTGATGGGGTTGAGGATGATATATTTGTTGGGGGGAAAAAGGCCAGTGAGACTGGAATTTGTCATTGGGGTGGAGCTGGTGGGCAGCGGTGGACCATGCTGGGGTGGAAAGGCTGGAATGTGTCACTTAGATTGTGCTCTGAGTGGGATTCTGCAGCATAGAAAGGTTTGTTTTTTTTTTTCATCCTAGGCTGGCCTCAGACTCTACATGTAGCCAAGCATGACCTTGAGTTTCTGATCTTCCTGCCTCTAACTCCTGAGTGCTAGAATTACAAGTGTGCATCACCAGGCTGGTGCTGGGAATCCCGCATGCCAAACACCCAACCAGCCAGATGACATCACCAGCACTTATCTCAAGCTTGCTGTTGTTGTTTATGGGCTTGTTTGTTTTTGAGATAGAGTACCCATGTATCCCTGGTTGGCCTGAACTGGCTATATAGGCCAGGCTAGCCTTTAACTCACAGCTATCCATCCGCCTCTATCTCCTGGTTGTGGGAATTAAAGGTGTATGTCACCACCTGACCTCCTGCCTTAAGTTTTTAGAGAGTGATTACTTGGGGATCAGCTCAGTGGTAATGAGAGCTGGGCAAGAAAAGCTGGCAGGAGAGTTTGCAAGTTTCCCCAGTGGATGGTCAAATATTACCATAGGGGAATGAATCTGGAGTGTAGCTTACAGAGTTCGTGGACAGGAGGAGGGATTCCAGATGATGGTGGTAGATCTGACGGAGCCGGCTGATGGATTGATTGGACAGGGTGAGTGAAGCAGGAAGAACTCTAGAATAGACGGGTCCAGGTGTGTGGCTAAGCCTCCCGGTGCTGTGGCCCTTTGCTGAGATGGACAGTGACTGCTTGAACTTGACCAGACAGGGGCTGCAGCTGAGGGCGGTCAGAGGCTGGGATGCAGAGTGTAATCAGGAAGGGTAACTTACTGTGTACATGCTGCCTGCCCAGCGCTGCCCTCATCTCTGATCAATGGACCTTGCTAGTGAGTGATGGCCTCACCCAGTTGCAGCCACAGGACCCTTCCTATCACAGCCTTGGTGTGCATTTTGAGTGTACTTTTCACATGGAGCCTGCTAGAAGAAGGAAACCACCCATGTCCAGCTTCTGCACCAGGAGGAGACACCTCAGTACTTGTCTGGGGAGGGTCCCCTTCTTCTATTTTGTAGAAAGATGCCAAGTGGACCCATTGGGTTTCTGACATTGCCTAATTTCCCTGTGTTGATGCGCAAGAGAAAACCCTATTTACTGGGTGAGGCATGGTGTGGAGGCACATGCCTATAATCCCAGTGCTCAGGAGGCTGAGGAAGGAGTGTTGTGAGTTCAAGGCCTGCCTGGCACTTGGGAAGGAGACCATCCCAAGTGAAAACACAAACAAAGGAAAATGTAAGCAAAATACCCCAATGCTCCTTTCTATCCATCTGGTCTTCATTGCCTCCACTCCTCGTTGTATAATTTGTGTTATTATTACTTTTGGTTAATTAAAAGGGTTGGGGAAGAAACCAGTTAGTTTCTTGGTTTCGCCAGCCACATTCAACTGCCAGATACATGCTGACTGCTTCTATCAACAGAGTTGGTTAGGGTATGTAAATGTTTAAATTCTGCATCCTGTGCACCCCTCCCCCACCCCCACACTGTCGTTTCTCTCCATGGGAGGCCTGCCCGACATGTGGAACAGAAGAATGACTTTGTTTTTTACTTTGATCAACTTTCCTTCAGCCACAGGCTGAGAATTCTGCACCATCCCTTCCCCGGTTCATCACATCCTCAGAAAGACAGACTCACTGATATTTCAGGAAATTGCAGGAAAGTTAGCTCTGGAGTGTAAATCCAAAAGGACTTTCTGGAGGAGGCATCCTAAGCTGCAAGTGTCGGAGGAGTGAGAGTGAAAGCTTTTTTTTTTTTTTCTTTTTTTTTCCTATTGTGATAACCTCTCATGTAGCCCAGGCTGTGGAAGGAATTGTCTGAGGAAGATGCTGGATTTCTAATCCTCCTGTCTCTACCTCCCAAGTGCTAGGATTACAGGCAAGCCTTACTTCTGGTGAATGGGGTGCTCAAGATGGAACCCAGGCTGTCATGCATGCTAGGCAAGCTCTATCAACATCCCCGGAGCTAAGTTTGAACGCATGCCAGGCCCAGGTGGAGGTTCGATGTTTCTCATCAAATCCTCACACAATACTCTGAAGGAAGCCACCTACTCCCAAGTCTACAGACTGCAGCTCCAGAGACAAAATGCTTCCAGCTTGTCAAGTCCCTCCACTAGGACTTGTACTTAGCCCTAGTGGGAATTCTGAAGGGAACAGAAGGTGATGGGAAGCAGAGCAGGAAGTCAGGGACAGAGTGTGGGAGAGGAGTGTGTCATCATGGGCGACTGTGACTCATTCTCTGTCATCCCTAGGGATCTGACCCAGGTCACCCAGGTCGGAGCACATTCAGTATTGGGATCTTTCCCATACTGGAGGAACTGGCCGTCCATTTCGGGAGAGTGAGGGTGGCGGTGGAGAGGAAGCCAGGGTCTCTTCCTGTACTAATTGGTACGGAGAGAGGTGCAAAGCACAAGGACCCCAATCTCCACCTGGAAAGGTGGGAACTCTTTCTCCAGGGCTTTCTTGACAGTAGGCTGAGCTATAGTGGATTCGGAAGTGATGTGCGCGTGGGCTAGGCATCTAGTTCCTCCCAAGTCCAGTTCTGCTGGTCCATGCTGGACCCAGAGACCCCACTTCATACCCACGCCCTGCTCCTGGTTAAGGGTTACCTTGGAGAGAGAAGCCCGCTAGGGAGAGGCCTCCAAGGCGGCCCAGGTGCAGTCGCGTCCCTCCGTGACAGGGTCCCAGTGGTGGAGATGCAGGCATCTCGGAGCCCGCAGGGACCGCCCGCCCGCGCCCGGCGCCCTCGGTGCCTCTCGCGGCAACTGGGAGCTGATGTCATGGGCACCTCCGAGCGCAGCGGCCCCAGGCGGTGAGGCAGAGCCGACTCCCGGGATCCTTCAATTCCCACGCAGTCCTCGGGTCACGCCGGCCACCCGGGGTCTCCTGAGACCCCGCGCCCTTTGCAAACGCAATGGACGGGGCTAGGGAAGGATCGGTGAGTGCTTGGCTACGGAGGAGGCTAGCTAACCAGGAGCGAGCTTGAGGACGAATTCTCGATCTCATTCATTTGCGGGATTAGGTGCAGAGTCAGGGAGGGGTGGGCAAGCAGTCGGTTTAGCCTAGGCAGAACCCTGATGCATACAAAGCGTGGCTGAGAGAGAGAGTAGTTTGGGAAGGCTGCCTGATGGAGAGGGCTTTGAGGTGGTACTGGAGTGGTGGTGGTATACATGGTACTGGAGCGGTTTGTGATAACAGCCTAGTGCAGCAGCCCCCCCAAAACAGGGAAGGAAATGTTGGCACGCAGTCTGGACAAGGTTTTGGTGAGAAGGAATCCAAGGTGTCAGGAAGGCTGGGCACCAGACACAGGAGCAGGATGTAGCGAATGGAGGAGAGGTGGTGTGACGAGAGGTCTGTGTAGTCACAATCATTCTTCTCTTCCAACTGCAAGCCTCCGCTTGCCTGGCTTCCTGAACCAATGTTGTGCACCTCCGCTCCGAAGCCTCCTGCTGTCACCTCAGCAGAAACCAGGAGGGGCTGTTTCCTGTGTTTTTATGCCATGACAAGGCACTTACGGAGTAGCCATTCATCTGTGCGTGTTCACCTCCCAGCTGGGGCTTAGATATGGAGCCTTGGTCAGCCCAGGGACGCTCCAGTGCTCTCTGCTAAACAAGTCTACTGCCAAAGCAGCCTCCTCCTGAAAGCATGTGTCCCGCCATTGTGCCAAACACTCTGCACCCGGCACTGAGTGTGAATCTCACTGGCCTTTCAACACTAAGATGCCATGACTATTTTCACCCTGTGTTGTGTGTCTGTGGTGTATGTATGTGTGTGCATGTGTGTATGCTTTCCTACGAGTGTATGTAGACCAGAGGTCTGCTTTAAGTTTTTGTTTGCGTGGTTAGTTGGTTTTTGTTGTTTGTTTGTTTGTTTGTTTGTTTTACATGGGGGGTTCTCACTATATTGCCCTGCCTGGTCTGGAACTGGCTATGTAGACCAGGCTGGCCTCAGACTCAGAGAGATTCGCTTGTCTCTGTCTCTGAGTGCTGGGATTAAAGATATGTGTCACCATGCCCAGACTGTCCACCTTTAATATGTGTGTGTGTGTGTTTCTGTATATGGAGGGGGTCCATGCCACAGCACAGCTAACAGCCACCATGTGTTTGGGATGGGGGCTTCCTGGAGGACTTTGGGGCCTGAGTTGGCCTGTTTTGGAAGAGAATCATGTGGGTGGTGTTGGGGTGAAAATGTGACCTAGTACAGTGATCCAGAAAATAGTCCTTGGAGAAAGGAACTGTAAACAAGCTAGATATGTAGCCCAGGCTGGCTTGGAACTCATGGTAATTCTCCTGCCTCTGTTTCCTGAGTGCTGGGATTACAGGCATGCATCACTACACCTGGCTGCCTAGTGCTTTTTATACTTTATTTTATTGTTTTGAGACAGGGTTTCATATAGCCCAAGAGGGCCTCGTATTCATTATGTTGCTGAGGGTGACCTTGAACATCCTAATTCTCCTGCCTCCACCCCCTGAGTACTCATCACCATGTCAGGTTTCTGCAGTGCTGGGGAGTCAGACCCAGAGCCTTAAGCATGCTCAACTCCCAGCCCAATGCCAACTGCCTTTTAACCTCCAGGATGACCTCTTTCTGAGTGACTACCCTGTGTCCTCTCTCAGGGCCTCTCCTCTGCCCTTCCATGCCTGTCCAGGGCCTCATGCATGCCTGACCCCCCCCCCCAGCCCCTCATACCTGGACCAGCTACTTTCCCTTCCTCATCCCTTGCCTCTGACCTCCTCTCCCAAGCTCAGGGAGCCAGAGGCAGGGTATGTGCTATTTGGGATATGTATAGGATTCTGGGCAGCGTGGATGAGCTCTGCAGGCAGTATGTATCTGACTAATTCCACAAATCTGTTTTCTATTCCTGACCTCTGGGACCACAACCACACAAATATGTAAATATATATTTACACACATATATACATATGCATGTGCAAATATATGATATATATTCTATCACAAATGGTAGTGTGTGTATATTTTGTTTGTTTTTGAGTCTCAAGTATCCCGGGCTTGCCACTAATTCACCACATAGCTGAGGATGGCCTTACACTATTGATCCTCCTGCCTCTACCTCCCAAGTGCTGGATTACCGATGTGTACCCCCATGCCTGGCTTGATGCACAGTGTTGTTTTGCTTTCTATTTTTGTGCTATATTTTCTGGAGAGTTATAGCTATACACATGTCTACCTCAGTCTTTTGCCCTGTTTATCGGTACAGATTTAACTCATTTAACTGGTGTCTTATTGAAAGGCTTTTTTTTTTTTTTTTTTTTTTAAAGTTTGGGTGTTTAAAACACTGCCTGGGGCTGGAGAGATGGCTCAGTGGTAAAGAACAATCATTGTTCTTCCAGAGACTCTAAGTTCACTTCCTGGCACCCCTGTGAGATGGTTTGTAACTCCAGCTCCAGGGGATCTGATGCCTCCCTCTGGCCTCTCTGGGCACTGCACTCATGTGTAATATGCACACACATAAATAAAACAGTGCTAAGTGAATCTTTTTGTACATATGACTTGGCAGTTATAGGTGTAATTGCATCTGTAGGCTAAACACTTGAGTATGGGATAGTTAGGCCAAAGGATATATGAATTTGCAGTTTTTGTAGATTTCTCCAAATTGTAATCCAAGGCAGAAAAGTTATATACTCCTCCTGATCAAAAGCATGAGCGTCTCTGGTGTTTTGCAAAGCTTTTCTGGCTCATCTTGGGCAGCTGAGAGTGAGAGGACAGGCTTGCTCTTGACTTTGTCCTCTGCCCCGCTCCCCCACCCCAACATAGGCAACTTGGGACCGGGGTTTGGGGGGAGTGCCTCAGCCTGATCCCTGACTGCCATTTCCTTTTTCCCCTTCCCACGACTCTGGTCAGGACACAGAGCTGCAGAGGAAACTAGATCATGAGATCCGGATGAGGGAAGGGGCCTGCAAGCTGCTGGCGGCCTGCTCCCAGCGAGAGCAGGCCCTGGAGGCCACCAAGAGTCTGCTGGTGTGCAACAGCCGAATTCTCAGCTACATGGGCGAACTGCAGAGGCGCAAGGAGGCCCAGGTGCTGGGGAAGACAGGCCGGCGGTGAGCAAGGGAGGTGACCGGGCTGAGGGAGGGAGGCTTTATCGGTGCCATGATAAGTGCCTGTCTGGAGTGTATTGATGGTACGGCAAGAGGCTGGTGGAGTGTTCAGAGCTCGGATCACCTTCCTGAAGGGGACTGCCTCACAAACACCTGTCCTGGTCGTGAAAGACACTTTAGTGTTTTACCGTGGTGGTAGGTCACCCGGAGTGGCTGGGGCTGGACTCGGGAAAGCCTGTGTGTGTCTGATGGAAGCTGGCAGTCCAAACCACAAGTAATGCAAAGCGTGCTCATTTGTTGAGGCCTGCCCATGATCTGCTACGTCTGGCTGGTTGGTTTCTGGAAAACTAATTTCCTCAAAGCCAGTTCACCAAATGGCCAATTTGCTGAATGACCAATTTACCACAAATTGACCATAGCTTGTTGTACCTGGGGTTCACCATCAGAGGCAGGAGCTGGGAAAGCACGTAATTAAAAATCACTTAAAGGAAGGCTCCCCATTTGTAGAAATCAGTTGTGCATTCCAAAGGAGGTCAGCATCAGTAAGTGGCCTACACATTGTGCCATCGCTGTGGTACAGGCTACCAATCTGACAGGCCAACCATGAGACAGCTGGAGTCAAGTGAAAATGTTAGAGAGAAAACACTTGGCAAATTGATTGCTTTGAGGATTGGCCATTTTCGGGAAATGAGTCATTTGGGGAACTGCCTGCCTCATCGAGGCTGCCTGGGGAGAGGGTCCCAGCCCTTACTGGCGTGGAGGAGCTGAAGGAGAGGTTGCCAGGGCTTCACAGAAAGTCCACGTTCCATCATCGCTGCTTCATTTAGCAAGAGGCCAAGCAGGCAGGAGGCAGCTCTCCCAGGTAGCCGTGGGCAGATGGACCACGCAGCCCTCACAGTGGGGATATGAAGTACATTTAATCCCCTAGCAGCTAATTGTGCTATACTGTGTACAAGCTGGGTATGGTGGTTTACGCCTGTAATCCCAGCACGGGGGAGGCTGAGATAAGGAGATCACTGAGTTTGAGGCCAGCTTGAGCTACAGAGTGAGGCCTTCACTCTCAAACGAACAAGTGAGATATTGGGAATAAGTGACTTCTAGGTCACTTGCAAGGAAAACCTGCCAATCTCTTCAAGCCCATGGTTTAGTGTGTGTGTGTGTGTGTGTGTGTGTGTGTGTGTGTGTTGTGGGGGGCTCGAAAGGGAATCTCTTATGGGACCTGTTCCCTCAAGGCCCCACTTGTGCATGACAGGGGTCTGGAAGGTCAGGAACAATGCTAGGATGGGGAGGGGCCAGAGCGCGTGTGCTGCACCTGTGTGTTAACATTGCTCAAATGTTCCTAAGACCAGCAAACCCCTGAGTTCTGTCAATAGCGCTCCACTGAGCCCCCATGGAACTGGACTAGGCCCTCTGGATAAGCAAGGCAGTTGTTGAGCTTGAACTGTATAGGGGCCCCCCAGACAGTGAGGTCGGGACCTGTCCCTAGTGCATGAGCCGGCTTTTTGGAGCCTAGTGCCTATGGTGAGACACTTTGCACAGCCTTGGTGCAGGGAGGAGGGGCTTGGACCTGTCTCAACTGAATGTACCAGGCTCTGCTGACTCCCCATGGGAGACCTTGCCTTGGAGAAGGTGGAAATGGGGGGTGGGTTGGGGGGGAAGGCTGGGGAGTGGGAGGAGGGAGGAGAGGGGAATCTGTGGTTGGTATGTAAAAGGAATAGAAAATCTCTTAATAAAAAAGAAAAAGAAAAAGAAAAAGAAAAAAATAGCGCTCCTCTGGTCCCTTAGTCCTGCCATGCCAACCAGGCTAGGAATCAGGGGCCTCTCAGAGCCCTTGGGAGTCAGAACAAAGGGGAGGAAAGTGGGAAGACCAGGCCAGGACTCTGTGATCTGCCCACAGACCTTCCGACAGCGTGCCGCCCCCTGAGCGTACCCCTTGCCGTGGCCGGGTCTGCATTTCTGGTAAGAAACACGCAGCCACAGCCGCTGGCACCCTTGCCCCCCACCCCACACCACCCCCTGGCTGCTTCTAACCCCCTTCCTTCCCTCTGTCCGCTAGACCTCCGGATCCCACTCATGTGGAAGGACACAGAATATTTCAAGAACAAAGGCGGTGAGTGCCACACACTGCGGGCAGACTCAAGAGTGTGTTCACGGGAGGTGGAGACTCCTGTGGACAATTCTCAGGTTTTCACTCCTCTTTTTCTCCTTCTTCCCAGACCCGCACCGCTGGGCTGTGTTCCTGCTGCTGCAGCTTGGGGAACAGATTCAGGACACCGAGATGGTGCTGGTGGACAGGACTCTCACAGACATCTCTTTTCAGAACAACGTGCTCTTGTGAGGGCCTTGCCTGTGGCTCCTTCCTTCCTTCCTCCACTCCGGCTCCAGCTCCCGAGGGACTGCTCTGGGGTGGAGGTGGAGAGGCAGAAGGGGAGGCGGATGGCCCATGGGCATCCACCCCTGTAGAGTTGTCCCGACTTATGCCCTTCCCCCCCCCCACGCCCTCCTGAGCCTCTCACTCATCGCCCTCCTCCTCTCTCTCTTGCACTCGTGTAGTGCAGAGGCAGGGCCGGACTTCGAACTGCGGCTGGAGCTGTACGGGGCCTGTGTGGAAGAGGAGGGGGCCCTGGCTGGTGCCCCCAAGAGGCTCGCCACCAAACTCAGCAGCTCCCTGGGCCGATCCTCGGGGAAGCGTGTCAGGGCATCGCTGGACAGTGCAGGGGGCTCTGGGAACAGTCCCATCCTGCTGCCGACCCCAACTGTAGGGTAAGACCATATCCTCACTTCTCAGGGCCCTTAGCTGCCTCCAACTCCCCGCTGGTGCCCGTGCCACACTGAATGAATGAGCAGGCATTCTGGCTAACCCCACGGTTAGGCCTCAGTCAGTCTACAAGCCTGGCGGTGAGGAGGCAGGGAGAGCTAGGCTTTGGAGGCCTACCTGTTAAGCAGCCACAAAAACACCTTATGGGACAGGGGATGTAGCTCAGTTGGTTGAAGTGCTTGTCTAGCATACAGGAAGCCTTGGGTGGGGTGATGCACACCTGTTATCACGGCACTTGGGAGGCAGAGGCAGGAGGATCGTAAGTTCAAAGTCATCCTCAGCTGCAGAGTGAGTGTCTGGCCAGCCTGGTGCACATTAGACCCCTGCCTCAAAACACCAGAAGCGGGGATGAGGAGAACGGCCCAGTGGATACAGCACTTGTTATACCAGCACGGGGACTGGAGTTCTGATCCCCCAGAAACCCCAGGGCTCACTTGGGAGGAGACATGTGACCTCCAGGGCAAGCTGGCTAGCTAGACTCGTGGAATTGGCACGCTGTGGGTTCAGTGAGAGACCCTGCCTTCATAAATCATGTAGAGAGCAGTTGAAGAGGACACCCAATGTCAACGTCGGGCCGCCACACATATATGCACACATGTGTGCCTCCCGTATATACGCCCAAACCAAAACAAACATAGATGTGTGTGCAACTCTGCTCTGAGCTGAGGCACGCTCTGTAGCAGGCCTACAGTCACCTGAAGTTACTGGGCTTTGGAGGAAGCCGCCTCATCTCCTGACTGAAGAACACCCACCCTCACGGAGCTGCCAGGAGAATTTCATGGGGATAATGTCTAAGTGCAGGTCTGAGTGCCTAGCAGGAGGTCAGGAAACAGGAGGCCAGCTAGTTGTCTGTGGTAGCCTTGCAGCACTCTCCTGCCCCACACCGCACTCCACTGAGGTCCCCTTCTCCCCCCAGAGGTCCTCGATTCCACCTCTTGGCCCACACCACCCTCACCCTGGCAGCAGTCCAAGATGGATTCCGTACGCACGACCTCGCCCTCGCCAGTCATGGTATGTGCGTGAGTGTGTGTCGGGGGTGTCGGCACGGCGAGGAGCGGTTGTGGGGTAGCCCTTTCTCCTTTCCCCTCCTCACCCTGGACTCCCTCCCCCCACAGAGGAGAACCCTGCCTGGCTGCCCCTTTATGGTAGCGTGTGCTGCCGCCTGGCGGCTCAGCCGCTCTGCATGACTCAGCCCACTGCAAGTGGTACCCTCAGGGTGCAGGTGAGCGGTCCTAAGGGAGTGGCAGGGGACAGGGAGGAGACAGAGTTGGACTGCCTAGGAACAGGATGATAAAAATGGGGGCCTGGGGGGACAAAGTGGGGTGGGAAGACAGCAGGGTGAGTATTGGGGACATGGGGTCAATGGGGGACTGGGAAGAAGGTGCCTGGTGGAGAGGCAAGACTCCCTAGAAAACACCACATCGTTTATGCAGCACGCCGGGGAGCTACGGAATGGGACACTCGTGCACGGAGTCTTGAAAGGCACAAACCTCGTGTGTTACTGGAGGTCTGAGGATGCAGACACCGGGCAGGAACCGCTGTTCACGATCGCCATCAACAAGGTGACCAGTCCCACGGCAGTGAGCCACCTGGTGCCTAGGCACGGGCACCTCTTTCTCAAGGCCCTGGAGAGTTGGGCTCAGGCCTCAGGGGCAGGGAGGGTGGACTCTCTTCCTAAGAGCATCGAGCTCCACAGCCTGGGATGCAGAGAGACCACGTCCCTGTATTTTCCACCCCTCGGATGATGCTAAGAAATTTACCCTGCTCACTCAGCTTCCCCTGCCCTTTCCAAACCCCAGGGGATTCCTCCAGTGCCCTCTGCTTCCAGTTTGGAGCTGCTGACAACCTGCTCTTTCTGTCCCTACCTGGGTGCCCTTGGGCTGCTCTGCTCCCGAGCCAGAGTTGCTTTCCTATGTGTTTGTTTTGCTTTTGCTTGGTGCTGGGGTCAAGTTGAGAGGCTTGTGTGTTAGGCAAGTGCTCTCCCACTGCACTGCACCCCAGACGCCCTGTCTGGGGTTCGGAAGTACTGGGTGGGCAACCCGACCCTGGACCTTGGTAACTCTTGCCCACCTCTGCACCTGCCCTGCCTTGCTCTGCCCGTCCTTCCTGTCTCAACCTGCTGCTCCTTCCCTGTCTGGGCAGAGGTCCTTTATCCCCAGTCCTCTCTTGCTGTCCCCTCATCCCTTCCTAGAGTTAGCAGGAGGCAAACGAAGGCTCAGTAGAGGTCCCAAAGATACTTAGAGGCAGGGGTGATGGGCTGCTTCTCAACCACGGTAGAGATGAAGGCAGCTATGCTTTGCCCTGCAGGAGACGAGGGTCCGGGCAGGGGAGCTGGAGCAGGCCTCAGAATGGCCTTTCACCCTCAGCATCAGCAACCAGTATGGAGATGATGCGGTGACCAACACCCTCCAGGTGGAGAGCAGAGAGGCCCTGCAGAACTGGATGGAGGCGCTGTGGCAGCTCTTCTTTGACATGAGTAAGAGCAAGGGCTGGCCTGAACCTCTGGCAGGGCCTGAGGTCTGCGTGATGCGGGAAGGCGGGAAATGTGGCGGGAGGCAGGCAGCTCCAGCACCTAACGCTCTCCTTGCAGGCCAGTGGAAGCACTGCTGTGATGAAGTCATGAAAATCGAAACCCCTGCACCCCGGAAGCCCCCGCAAGCACTGGCCAAGCAGGGGTCCTTATACCACGAGATGGGTAAGTCAGTGGGGGGGCTGATGGGAAGTGGAGCTGGGGACCTCACGGGAATCCAGGCAATAGAAACAGAGAAAGCACAGAGGGGTCCAGGTCCCACTCAGCCCTACTGTATTCCCCTTTTTCTCTCCACTTCTGAAAACCACCTCTACCCAAGTTCAAAACAAACCCCGAAGAGCCAGATCCACTCCAGGACGTCTATCCTAATCCTTCTTTTCTGTTTCCCTCTGTGCATGTGGATTCCTGTCTCCTCTTCTGACCTCACTTGCCCGGCACTGCTTTCTCTCCTTTTTTGTGGTTTCTTTACCCACTTCTGCTCCCCCCTGGCACGCCAATGTCACACAGTCTTGTCAGAGCCTGTGGCCGCAGGGGGGCCCAGTGAGGGGCTGCTCCTGCAGAATAATGCCATCTCAGCCGAGATTCGGGCCTTGCTTTCCTATTACAGTGACAGGTGACAGTCAGTCAGGGCTGAGCAGGCCAGGGCGGGAGCTCTGACTAGCCCCTCCCTTTCCCTTCCCCTCCCCTCCCCCCTGGTGCCACAGCTATTGAGCCCCTGGATGACATCGCAGCTGTGACAGACATCCTGGCCCAGCGGGAGGGCACAAGGCTGGAGACGCCCCCACCCTGGCTAGCCATGTTTACAGACCAGCCCGCCTTGCCTAGCTCCTGCTCGCCTGCCTCAGTGGCCCCGGTCCCAACCTGGACGCAACCCCTGCCTTGGGGGCGACCCCGAACCTTTTCCCTGGATGCTGCCCCCCCAGACCACTCCCTTGGGGCTTCTCGCTCGGTTGCACCCCTCCCCCCGCAGCGATCCCCACAGTCCAGAGGCTTCTACAGCAAAAGTCAGCTCGGCGCATGGCTCCAGTCCCCGGTGTGAGAGAGACACCAGCAACAGAATCTGGCCAAGAAAGAAAACGATGACCCAAGGGCAACTGGGCTCTAGGTCCAGCACTGTGGGGCGCCCGCCAGGCTCTTCTTCCTCCACTGGACTAGAAAGGAAGGCTGGGGAGGGGGTAACAGGAGCCCCTCTTAAGTTGTGGTTACCATGGTACTGAGGGGACCATTTCTGGAGCTGGTTGGGATGCCCTAAGCTCTTCCTGGGAGAAAACTGGAACAACCCTGCCCTACCTCCCCGCACTAACCAGTCTCCAGGGCCGCACGAGGGAGCGGGGAGGAAGGCACCTCCTCTGTGACTCCTACATCGACCATTAAAGTTATTTAACAGCTAGCTGCCTTCACTTGGTCTTTGAGGACTTGGTCTCTGAGGACCGGTGGCTTCTGTGTGCTCTGAACCTGCCCCTCCCTCCTCCTCCTGTTGTTTTTTCCCCACGTAGTTTTGGTGCCTGTCCCGGATCTCGCTCTGTAGACCAGGCTGGCCTCGAACTCACAGAGATCCCCCTGCCTCTGCCTCCCAAGTGCTGGGATTAAAGGTGTGCGCTGCCGCCGCCGCCGCCGCCGCCGCCCGGTGAGCTTGCTGTTTAGAAGCGTGGCTGTGGTAGTGAGTAATCAGGCAAGGGCTTCATGGAAGGAATACTTTATAAATACCAAGGGAGAAGGGACGGTTGCTCCTCTCTCAGACACTGCTGAATCTCAGGATCTCAGCAAGGTCATAACCCGTCACCGCAAAGGAGCTGCCTGATGGGTCACAGAACCGAGCACCACACACCTGGGTGTCAGAAATACATTCACCATGGCAGTGTTCAACCTGAGGGGAGGGGAAGACTGGTCAGTCCTGCTGCTCACCCTATGCTTGGGTCCCCATTCCCACCCTTCTACAAACCTACCTCAATGGAGCCATTCTCTGGGCTCCTGTTCAGCTTCCAGATGTGCACAAATGTGTCCTCAGCAGCAGAGAGTAGCTAAAAGAGAGAAACCCATGAGGGATGGCCAAGGGGTCAGAAAGTCCTGACAGGACGGGTGTGGGCTGGAGTCCCAGTCCAGGTACCCGGGGATGGAGTTACACTGAGTATGGAGAGAAGCCTGAGCTATGCATCTAAGCACGGGAAAAGTACTTAGGGATGCACAAGACTGACCTTGCCTACTTCTGGAGCGAGGTCCAGGGCGCAGACGGTCCGGGCATGGGCGCTGATCTGGACGTGGAGTGCTCCTGTAATGGCGTCATACAGACGCACTTGCCCGTTCCCATACCCGGCTGCCACAACGCCCTGCCACAGCTGCACGGAGGGGCAAGGGACCCTGCAAGGGTGAGGTTCAGTTTTGGTCTCTCCAGACCCCAACACTCTCCCTACCCTCACAAAGGCCAAAACCCTCTTCTGCCTCTCCTACCCGAATCCTGGTATTCGAGTCAGTAACGTGAACGCAGTTCCTGACCTCCAGACACACAGAACACCCGAGTCATCGGCTGTCACCATGTCAGCAACACCATCCTGAGGAGAAAGTCGGGGTCAGCTCTTCCTGTTACAGTCTGTGTGGTCCAGAGTACAGGGCAGGCAGGGAAGTGAAGCCATGCCTGCCTCTGCTTCTACGGGGAAAGAGCAAGAGGTAGGTCCTTTACCAGCCTGATACCAGACACCTCTGAGAGTCCCTTAGACACGGGCTCCTTGTAGGTCCTTATATACACCTTACAGCCACCACCTCCCCTGCCCCCATCGCGGAGTAGAAGCGGATGTATAATTGTTCCTTTGCCATTTCCTGATTTTTTGGAGGTTCTGTAATGAGCCGATCAGTCACAACGAGCCCCAAGGCCTCCTGACCTGATGCAGGCAGACAAACAGGTGCTGGGAAGGGTACAGATTATAAAGCCACACCCTGTTCTCAAGAGGTCTGCAATCCAAGTGGGGGAAAAGGAGTTTTCCATGTGGACAGGGCCTATTCAGAGTGGGGGGGGGGGCGTTGGAAGAGGGAGAGGACTTTCTGGAAAGGCTAGCCCTGGCGCTGGGTCAGAACAGGGTCACTTGCTCAAGTCCAGAGAAGGAAGCTACAGCTGTCTGTGTTGGCAGCATCTGGGAAATGGTCGGCTCCAACATCTGGATTCACACCAGCATTGGAGAGCGTTAGTGATTTTTATAGAACACTCAATGTAAAGTATGTTTTACTCCAGACCTGAAGTTGCTATATCTTCAGGAAAGGAAATGCAGATGATCCCAAAGCCACACTTCTACTTGGTGGCAGAGCTAAGACCCAAATGGGGCCTCCCAGTGTGACGAAGTCTCCCGGGGCCATTAGAACAGGTAGAGGAAGGAGGTCTACTTACCTGCCCCTGGGCACGCTCAGTGGCAATGTCTGTGATTGGCGTCTGGTGCCCAGCCAGCTCCTCGTTAAGTACAATGTTGGGACCCTTAGCAGGGATGTCAAACACCAGTACCCGACCAGACCATGTTCCTGCAGCCAGAACCAGTGTCCCACTGATGACTTCCTGACCCGCCTGGGTCTCCAGTCACCACAGCTAACACTCCCTCTACCCCACAGTCCTGACTTTCCATTCACTATCCCTCCCTAAATGTTTTTATGAGTCTCTGATACCCTCCCTCCCCCCGACCTTCTCCCCTAAGCCTTCATAAGTTCGTCAACCCCTCAGCATCCTCCTGACGGAAAGCCCGTAACGATGTACCTCGTACACCTTAATGCCCTGCATTTAGGCCTCTCACCCACACAGATGAAGTGAACACAGGCAGCAATTCCTCGGGCAAACATAGCCTGTGCTGAATATAAAAACAGCTCTCAGAAACGGCACTTCCTCCAGCCCTGGCAAATCCTCCCAGCCTCCACCCCTGCTCCACTTGGTCCTGCGGGTTACCTGAAGACGCATCTCCTGAATCCAAGGCATGCCAATAGACCATGAGGGAGCCGTCAGACTCATACATCTGGAAGATGGGGCAAGGAGGGGAGCATGATCCAACGGACCCTTGCTGCGCTCTGGGCCCAGCATTTCACACAGCCATGTCAGCCCGAGTCCAAGTAATCCTCACACTTGTTCTGGAAGGAGGCACTACTCTTAATCCCTAGTTTTCAGAGGAGGACACCGAGGCTACATGTACCGAAGGTCACAGAGTGATTGAAGGAGGCAGATGGCTGAGGTGGAACTTGAGGGGGTGAAGAAAATGGAAAGCATGAGGATGTAAACTAGAGAAAGGGTGGCCTACACACACCGGAAGTTTAGAAGAGTTTATTTAGAGGGAACTGGGGAGCGTGGGGGCTGAAGAGGGAAGAGGGGAGGATTCCCTTCTCACCTGTATCCTTCGATGTGAGGTGAGCACCAGCAGTACTCTGAAGGGGAGGACGCACCAGTGGACCTGGAGGTACACGCATCACAGTAAGACGGCATAAAGCGTCGAGGGGATAGATAGGGATTCAAGATCAAAGGCAGAGCTGATTTAGCCAACGCCTCTTTAACTCCTAGCCTCACCTGAGTGATAAGTGGGGGACTCACTCCAACGCCCACTTTGACTTGGAGCTGGCGTTGGGCCAAGGGCACACCCTCAGGGGCAGCGCTGAGAATCTGGGCGCTCGGTCCATGAACCACTCCAAAATGCGTGAGATCACGGGCTGGAAGCTGCAGCACACTGAGGTTGTTGGACAGGGCGGCGGCAGAGTCGCGGAGTGGGATGGAGCGCTCGCGGCGGAACATCCTGGGAGAGAGATACTAGAGTCACCGGAGCGAGCCAGGAAAAGGCCACAGAGGGCACTTGGGCAGGGGAGAAGGGTGAGACACTAGGAGAGACCCTTGATCGACGGGTTCCACGAGGAAAGTGATGGGGAACAGTCACAAGGAGGAGAGGACCCCACGAAGCCGGAGAGAGCCCCAAGGTTGAGTATTGCGGCCACCAGGGAATCCCACAGGAAGAATGGTGATGGAAAGACCTGGTCCCGAACGCCCCAGCTAAAAAGGCAGAATAAGCCCTCCAGCCCTTCCTCCCACAGTCTGGTTACCTGAAGGTCCACGCCAAGGTCAGAGGTCACACCTGCAACCCCCCCCCACCACCCCCACCCTCAAGTCTGTCTCGCCTGACGCTAAGATCCTCAGGTCCCTCCGAATCCGCCGCCACCATAGAGACGACGCACTGACGCACGGCCTCTGGGCGGGGCCTGTGGCTGGAAAGGGGCGGCGCGCGGCGCAGTTGCCGGGGCAACCGTGGACCGCGCCTGAGACCCTCAGGGCTGCCTGGTTGCCGAGGCGACCGTTGGGCCGCGGGCGCGGCGGCTGCAGCGATGGAGGGTCCCGGAGGCAGCTGAAACACCGCGTCGGAGCGACTGTCGCGACAATGTCACACGAAGGCTCGGTGAGCTTCAACTTGGGGAGTGTGCAAGAACTGGGGTTGGCGGGACGAGGCCAAGAGCAAGCGAGTTCCGAAACAACCGGCTAGTACAAGTAGTAATTCGTTTATGCCGAGGAACCCGTGTTGGTGGGTAAACCAGATCAGGCACTAGGGAGAGCGCTTGATGGCTGAATATCTTGACAGTTTCAGGACTGTGAGATGGATTAAACAATTCCGAGGCTGGCCTTTAAAGTTAATGTATTGTATTATTGTTGTTTTGTCGTTGTTGTTTTGAGGCCGAGTGTGATGATGTAGACCAGGCTGGCCTTCAACTCAAGAGATCTGCCTGCCTCTGCCTCCAGAGTGCTGTCATAAAAAGCACGTGCTACCATGGCTGGCCTTTTATTTTGAGACAAGGTCCCACAGTGCAGCCCTGGCTGGCCTAGACCTCACTATGTAGATCAGGTTACACCTGAACTCATAGCCTCTTCCATACCAACACCCTCTGTCAGTAGTCAAATTGTTTAAGTTAAGAAAAAACGTGATTATTTTATGTGTATGGGTGTTTGGTCTGCTTGTGTGTCTGAGCAGCATGTTCATGCGGTGATGCCTGCAGAGACCAGGAGACAGAACCAGATTTCCTGGAACTGGAGTTACAGTGTTGAGCCATCGTATGGGTGCTAGGAACCAAACCCAGGTCCTTTGGAAGATCAGCCAATGCTCTTAACTACTGAGACATCTCTCCTATTCTCAAAGTGAAGACATTTTAAAAATACAGATCGGAAGAACTCTGGGAAAATAAAAGAGTAAAAAAAAAAAAAATCTCTGTCCTCTTTTGCCAGGTTCACTCCCCATCTCTAGACGCAAGGCTTGCAGGGGAGACACCTCAGGGATCAGTTCTGTGTTTGGGGTTTAAAGATGTAGGCTGAGCGTAAGGAAGCATAGCTTTAATCCCAGCAGTAGGCGGATGGCCTCTGGGAATTCACGGCAGAGGTTGGGATAGTAGGGAATA